TTGAACAACCTATATCTTCAACTTCGCACTCTCTCGTTAGTTGCAAAGAAGCTTGGCTTAAGACTCTACTCTTGCGCAATTAGTCACCACCTTGTAAGCCTCTGCTACGACAGTCATTTCTCGAGTTATATATTGCTCAGCCAATGACTCTGTTCTCGAGAGCACAAGTAGTCACTTTGTAAGTCTCTATCATGGGAGTCATCCCCGAGACTATACGTAGCTCGACCTCAGCTCATGCGACCCCCTTATAGGATGTCCACAACATTCTGTCTGGAGGTCTTGAAATCAGAGACAAGGTCAAAAGCCACCCAATCCCTTTTTGGTGCCTTCCAAGGTAGCACATAGCCCTGGCGCCGCCCAGCGCCTGGCGCCCAACTGTCCCTATCACTTAAAAACGCCGCCCAACAACTTCCACACTAGCCCAAGGGGTGCCAGTAGGCATCGCCCAAAGGAAAGGAGGCCAAAAGAGAGAGAGAGAGAGAGAGAGAGAGAGAGAGAGAGAAGGGAAGCAGCAGGGCGTTGCCCAAAGGGAAGGGGGCCAAGAGAAAAAAAAAAGAAAGAAAGGACAAGGAAGCCAGCACCCAGGAGGCAGCGCCCAAGGGAAAAGAAAAAAAAAAGAGGGGAGAAGGGCCAGCGCCCAAGAAAGAGGGAAAAAAAAAGGACAAGGGAGTCAGCACCAAAGAGGCAGCGCCTAAGAAGAAAAGAAAAAAGAAAAGGATAAGCGAGCCAGTGCCCAAAAAGAAAGAAAAAAAAAAGAAAGAGAGATGGGTCATGGTAGGAAGTGCCCAAAAGAAAGAAAGAAAAAAAAAAGATGGGTCATGGCAGGCGGTGCCCAAAAGAAAGAAGTTAAAAAAGAAAAAGAAAAGAGAGAGATGGGTCGTGGCAAACGGCGTCCAAAAGAGAGAGAGAAAGAAAGAAAAAAAAAAAAGAGAGGGTCATGGGAGGTGGCGCCCAAGAAGAAAAGAAAAGAAAAATAAATAAATAAAGAGAAAGGAGGGCCAGCGCCCAAGAGGTGTCACCCAAGGAAGAAACCAAGAAAAAAAAAGGGGGCAGCAGGCCAGCGCCTAAAAAAAATAAAATTTAGTAGAGTCCCCAAAGATGAAAAAGCACCGTAAGAGCAAGAAAACTCCTACTCAAGTGAAGAAGAATTACATGCCCTCAACCCCTTCTTCTCACGAAAAGTCAGAAGTTTGGGGGCATGGAGGACAAATGATGAGCTCAAAATTAATCGGATTAGGCTTGATTAATCAAGAAAAGCCCATGTCACCTCTGAGCCCAAGTTAAGGAGGAGCCCAAGTCAAGGGAAGCCAAAGTCAAGGAGGACTCCAAAGGGGACACCCTCAAGGGGCTACCCCAAAGGGGTGCCGCCCAAGGGGATCCTTCCTTCCTTTGTCCGTTGCTCATTCTCTTACGCAAATCTCGTGAAGTCCTTCGCCCTCTTGACTTTGTCACTCCAATTCAAATCCAGTACCCACCAACTCAAGTCCAAGCCTATGATCCTCTTTCGACCGAATAGGAGCATGAGGGAGATAAAATCGGAATATGCATGGAGATCTAATCTTATCTTGATTGAACTTACCAAAATAGTAGAAGCCCTCTCCCCCATGTCACCGTCTCACCGTCATACTAAACCTATATAATGTAAGCGTTCTCCATAAGGAGACACACATTGACATGTCCTTGAGACCTCTACAAGATTCCTACACACACTACATCTCCCCTACACACATTGCTTCTCTCTCCTCACCATTGTAATACTCCCGGAGCATACTCTCCCAGAGATTCTATCCATCAATAAAACATCCCAGGCCATCATTGTCGTTCTCGAAAGTGGAGTAGGTCACCCAAACCGAACCACTATAAATATGTGTGTTGATTCTCTTATTTATTATTTTGTCATTGATTACCTATTTACTGCTCATTAATTATGTCTCTTGATATATTCGACTGTTAATTTTGCGTAAACTACTAATTTGTGCATCATCACTAAATTCTAAGAAAAATGAAAGGTAGGAGGAAAGGCTTTTCAAGCAACCCTCCCACCTAATTTGATTGTTTTATATATATTAGTAATGCACGACGTGCGTTACACGTAAAAATATTTAAATAACAAATTTTTATGAGAAATTTAAATTGTATATGTAATTAAATTGAATCATAAATTATATGTGGAATAATTAATTCTTATTTTAACTATTGCTAAACTTAATTATTGATCTATTATATTCCTATTTGAGTATCTAATTCGTCATTTGTTTAGATATCTGTATGACCTATTAGACAATTTTCTATTTTTTTTAACAATGAAATTGTATTGTAAAATTATCATTAATGAGCATTTGCACATCTAATTATATTATAAATTACATGTCTTGTAAAAGAGGTTAATTTAATTCCAATACTATTGTTTGTATTATAATAATATGATATTGTTGCATATCAAAAAAGTAAACATGACATATTAATGGTAGAATTCAATCCGACAACAACACACACAAAGTAATAGAAATATAGAATATAAATTGAAATTTATTTCATCATATAAATATAAACATAGATATAGAAAATGTATCAAAGTATAGTACTAATAAATGAGTACAAAAAATGTTATAATTCAAATATTATTAATGAAAGAATCCAAAATAACTTAGAAGTCAAATAGGTATAAGAAAGAAAAAGTGGATAAAAACAATAAAGAATTTGAAGTCAAATATTGTTAATAAAAGAGTCCAAAATAACTTAAAAGTCAAATAGATATAGAAAATAAAAATGGGATGAAAGTAATATGTGGATATTATTGATTTTATAATAATAATGAAGGATAAAATAGGAAATTAAAAGTTTTCACAGATAATAAAATTTATAATATATATAAGTAGTATAGATATAGATAGGTAGGTTTTTTTTATTTTATTTTTATAGATTTTCTCTTTTTCTCCTTCGCTAATCCCTATTTTTCATTTTTAATCTATATAATAAAATAGAAATGTGTTTGAATTTTATGCTAGTGGGTTAATATCCCAACACCTCACTAAGTAGTGAATCAATTTTCAAGTGATATAAAAATTCGATTGAAAACTCTAATTTAAATTCAATACAATTGTTGGGCAGGTACTTTTTATTTGTCAAAAAATTAAATTTTTAATCTGAATATCTGATTTAATTCGAGTAAATTAGAACTAAATTTGGAGTAAATTAATTTTAAATTTGTATCAAATTTATATATTTTATCTTATCTTATCTATATAATATTACAGTTAGGTCACTATTTTGAACTTTTATAAGGGAGGAGACGGTGAGATTCAAACCCAAAATCAAACGGTTCAATGGCAGTTTCTCTAATATTTCAGTTAATAAGTTACATTCTTAGTTTATTAAAACACAATAATAGTTAAGATTAATTCAATTTTAATTTCTAAAAAGTATCATATTTTATGCACGGCTCTCAATGTCAGACAATTCAACTAACACAATTCTCAATGTTAGGCAACTCCACTAATTCACACATACCTCTCTTTTATTTTTCTCTTTATTTACTTTAATTTTAAAACATAAAATACTATACTATCAATATTCGATTTTTCATATTACATAATGTCAACTAGAGTTATTTTGATTCGAATTTGTCAAATGTAATTTAAATTATCCAAGTTCAGATAACCTATTAAAAATAGAGTAATATTTGAGGGTTATTGGATTAATACCAAATTTTAATGTTTAATAGGGTTCACAGTCAATGCGAAAATCATAGTGACTTAAATTGACAAATTAAATCTAAAAAACATTGTTCAAATAAAAAAATATTATTTAAATTATTGAATTAAAAACATATTCTAATATTTAACTAAGTCAAAATAACATTGCTTAAATAGGTCCAATCAACTATGATTATTACCCAGTGTTTGGTTTGAGGGAAAATGGAGAGGATGAAAAATGGAGAGTGAAAAATAGGAGGGAGAGATTGATTTTCTACCGTTTGGTTTCGAAGGAAAAATGGGAGAAAAAAAAAATTAGATGGAAAGGCCATCTTATTTTGAAGAAAAAATAATCTGTCCGATTGTGGGAGAAAATTGAAGAAAAAATGGGCCATTTTAAATTACAGTGCTTTAATTACTTATTTACCCACGTCAAAATTCTGCACTGTCTGACTCTTCCACGTGTCCAATTTTACACCACATTCCATTTGGTGGGGCATTTGACTTGTTCATGTGAGCTGTAAAACAACAACTTACTCTTTTTATTTTTTTAACATTTTCAAAAAAAAAAAAAAAAAGTTATAGGAAAAAAATGTCTACCAGTGAAATATATAAGGGCATTATAGCAATTTTGTGAGGGTAATATGATAAATTGAAATTTATGTGTTTTCTTTCTTTTCATTTTTTCTCTAATCTCTTTCTAAATTTTCATCCATATACCAAACAAATAAAAAATATATTTTTCTTATTTTTTTCTCTTCAGCTTACTTTCCCTCATACTAAAAGGACCATAAGTTTTGTGCGTCGTGTGTGCAGTACGTTTTTGAGAAAGACACGGCAAGAAGCCAAGCGCAAGAGGGATAGTTTTTTAGAGGATCAATGCAAAGGTAAAGTCGTACAAAGAGAGCTTAAGACATTGTCAAACTCACAGTTACAACAAATCATTCGGCCTCTCTCTCTCTCCCTGTGTTGCGTGTGTCTGTTGAAGCAAACTAACAACATAATCCTTAGCTACACAACTGTTCAGATGCAAAGACAACAAGAAAGAGACTGGAACAGAAGATGCCTCGGTAAAGAGCGATACTCGGTACCTTTTAATCTACGATTCAGTGTCTGGGTTTTAATCCCGATAAACTAAAAGAAAGGAAAAAAAATATCAAAAAAAGTGAGAAAATTTTTATATATAATTTAACCTTGAAGACCAAAAGAAATAGGGTTTTGATAGGGTATGCACATTAGCAAGTTGGCCCTTCCATAAAGGTCCAAACCAGACCCCATCCCTTCTATCTTTCACCAAGAAAAATCCTCGAAGCAAAAAAGCACCATTCATTCATGGCCACTTCTTCCAAAACAGTCAAAGATTGTGATATGCTGAGAGAAATAGAAGGTGATGAGAGAGAAACAGAAGAAGAGGAAGAGGAGGGAGAAGGCGAGAAAGAAAAAGAGCAGGCGGAGGAAAGAGATTGTTTGGAACTGAGTTTAGGGTTTGGAACAGCTTGTGGTAAGTTACTAGGGCATGGATCAAACTCATCTTCAGCTTCTTTTGCATCACCCTCTTCTTCTTTCCCATCACAACAAGCTCAAAAACAATCTGGGTCATGGTTAGGGTTAGGAGTAGGATTAGGGTTAGGGTTTGAAAATATGGGTGCGAGTGAAAAGGGTGTGGGTTCGTCTAGTAAATATCACAGATTCTGGTGTGAACATCATCGTGGTCTTGCACATGATGATCATGATGGTATGCCATCACCATCATCATCATCACTCACACTGTGTCCACCACCATCATTATCATTATGGCCACTGCACGTAGCTTCAACTAGCTTTCTTGGTCTTCATGGCCTGCTAGTGCCAGTTCCAGCTGATACCCATCATTACACTCAAAGACCACAGTCTGGATTGTGGTTTACTCTCCGCTCCTTAATCAACCGGTAACATTTTTGTACTTACCTATATACCTGTAATTTTTTTTTTTGGTTTATGATTATATCACGAGTTATATGTATATATAGATGTGTATATAGGTATGGATTCAACTATGGAGCCATAAGAGATAAAGTATTGAAATTCATTACAATTCTTTTGGGTTTAATTACAACATATCCAACAAAGAATGAGTTAAAATAGGTCATAGACAATTATAGCATTAAGTCATAATTTTATTCTTATTTTATAGTAATTTTAGTATAATAACCACAAAATTAGTACCATACCATAGTTGAGTCCAAATAAATAAATATATGGATATCTATCTAATATTAAATCTAAGAAGTGTAATTCTCGATTTATAAAAGTACAGTAACGATTAAAATTGATCAAATTGTTATTTATTTTAATTTAATCGTACAAGATTCATTCTAATTTTTTTTTCCAACTAAAATATATAGTTTTCTCTACATAACTCCAATATTAGACAACTTAACCAACACACTTTTAAATGTCAAATAACTCCATTAATCTACACCTACCTTCCTCTTCTCTTCTATCTCTTTAATTTTCTCTATGATAACTTTAATTTAAAATTGCTCAATTAAAGAAAATAACAAACAAATAAATTCTTATTTAAAATATCAATATTACACTATCAATATTTATATTTTAATATTACAAAATGTCTTTAGACACAAATTATTACTAAGATGTAATACAAATGATGTTATTTAGATCTAAAAATATGATCTAATTTGTTGTTCAAATAATGTGATTTCAATGAAATTATTATATCAGTATCAAATTTTAATATTTGATGGAATCCCTATTAAATTTAAATATTATATTATATTAAGTCAATAAATTAAATTAATAAATTTCATCCCAATATTACTCTTATAATATATATACGAGGTATATATATATTGAGGGTGAATTGGTTGATAATTGCAGGGAAGGGGAAGGGCTACCTCAAGTACCAAAGGCGTATATTAGAGTGAAGTAAGTGTTGCACGTTAGAATTAATATTTGATCATGTCGGATGGCAACACCTTGTTTTTCAACTTGCTAATGATGATGTTCTGTGAAAAGAGTGAAAAGCTGACGTTGTTTTCTTTTTGGGTTTTTGGTTTCTTCTTTTTTTGTCAAAAAAGAGACGAGAACGTGACAATTTTCATGGTTAAAACCTACCTTGTTACAAAACTTGGTCTTCCCAACGAATCTGAGGTACCCATCTCTCTCTCTCTCTCTCTCTCTACCAGTGAGATCCAATGTCCATAGGTGCTCAATTTATTTCTCCCATACTATTATTACTATCATTATGAAGCTTGCATGGAAATGAATGATGCTTTACATAAAAATGATTAATGCTACAGTAATGCTGTCTCTTGATGACGAATTGACAAGTTGTTTTGTATTCATTTATCCATAATATATAAAGGTGATTTACACTGATAAAGGTCATTAACTTTTGTTCTTGGCGGGGCAAAAGATGCCAAGTAATAATCACACCCAAGGAGTGGATTTATTTCCATGACTGAAATTTCGTATTGGTTCATCAAAACATTTTTATTTTCCTTTGCTTCAAGTCCTTTTAAACTATCTGGAAGGATATATAAATCTATGATCTGACCTTTATTGATCTTAGTTTTGAGTTTCTCTTGCGTGAGAACTAGAATGCGAATCCTTACTGAAGCCAACCAACATGTCTTTATGAATAACATTAAATTCTTTCGATACACTTCATTCCATTACTTTACCAGGATTTCCTTCTCGAACGATGAATTATTATTTTTTTCTTTTTTTATGCATATTCATACTGTGAATTAATTTACCAGAAGCTATATTGCATGCTTTGTTCACCTTCAGATCAGTCTGAACTCATTAACTATAAGAAAATATAGTACAGAATCTGGTGACAAATGAATATTATCCTACCAAAAATTACATTATCTAGATCATTTAAGTTCGTGATAGCCAACATCTTATGAGTGATAGGAGTATCACCTACAGAAATGAGTCTAAGCTAAAAGAGGTGGAATGTCATTGGTGAGCTCACCATAAAAAGAACTTGTTTAAGATCGACATTAATATTTTTGGATCGAATATATTTTATCGAGTCCTACCCCTATTAAGTCGTATCGACCCTTTTTTATTTGAGTTAATATTATGTTTATCAAATTTTTGTATCAAATTTTCATGTCAAATAACGTGACAATTTTTCACCATCAAATAAGTGAATTTTATTAATATTCAATGACAAAAATTATGCCACATCATTTTGGGACGAAAGATTTAGTAAAAAATTTGGCAAATAACAAGTAGTGACTAAGGTAGACTCAAATAAGTTGTAACGAGCTCCCATGGCCTCTTTAGTATTGTGGTGGTACAATGACTAACAGTAGTCATCTTGTGCAGGAGAGAGAGAGAGAGAGAGAGAGAGAGAGAGAGAGAGACCATAGCTTACTCTAGTAAACTATAGCTACTGAAAAGTACCAACTCGGAAGAAGTGATTTCGAACACTCCTGGAATGATGTGATACAAAACACCCATTAGTTCATATTCTTGTACGGGAGTAAATGGTACCAAAAAAAAGCCCCCATTTACGGAGTGGCATACTTTGATGGACGAGCCCTATAATAAGCATATTGGTCATGGTGTAAGAAGATTACGGTACCAGGAAAAAAAATTCAGTACCCTACTGCCAAATTTTACGAATTTTGTGGATTGAGTTGCACAACAATGATAGATCATAAATGCTTCAAGATAAAGAGTATGAAGAGATGAAAGTTGATAGTGAAATACGGCCACATAATCCCCAGTTGAAGAATAAACTTAAACTTGTAGAAGTATTATAAGATTTAGTCATCTTAATTTGATTGTGTTAATGTTACGTATTAGCAATGTGATATTATAACAAGTCGTTGAAGAGTGATAAATTATGATTTGTTGTTATAAATCGTGGAGAAAGTGTATACTAATGAAAGGTTAGGCATTATATTGGAGCATATATGAAAATCATTTATGGTATTTAAACAAGTAAAGTTGAGGTAAGTAAATAATTTTAGTCGAGAGTGGTTATAATCCTGTTGAATGAAAATTTAACATTTTCATCTACTTCTATTGTGTTTCTAGAGTTAGGTTATGTGATCTTAGTTACCTTATGAGGGTTAAGATGCTTTCTTACACTCTTTTGTATATCTTGGACTAAGACCCACAATCGGCGAGAGGCTTTTGAGAGAGATACGGGTGAAGTGGATCCTTATATTGACTATGTTAGGTGGCATAAAGAGTCTCTTTCTCAGTGTTTTTTCTTTTTTTTTTTTCCGGAAAGTAAAGTAAATTTCATTAAACTGGAAAAAGGGGTCATGTACAAAAAAGACAGTTGTATCAACAACCGAATGAACAGTAAACAAAAGAAAACAGAAGCCGGAGAAAATTGAGTAATTCTAAGTTCCGTTAGTCCCCAAAGGGGTCTTTCTCAGTGTTTTTTTGTCTCTGCTCTTTGTTCTGTTTGTTGTTAGTGTTTTCTTTGAGTTTCTTTGTAGACGGGATAGAATGAAGGTTTCTCTTTACAGAACTTTTCTTAATTCAGTCGTATGTTTTTTTTTTACTTTAGTGATGACGATGGCAGGACATTAAGTAATTTTAATCGAACTGATCTGATGTATAGCCAACTTGTTGACAATCAGATTACTGTTTGTGTTCTATACCTGCATGGAACTTATGCTGCACATTTCATGATTTATATTTAATCAATTCTCTGTCATGAACTGCCTTCGATTTTGGTAAAGACTACAATCTCGAATTCAGTGTCGCACCAAAAAAATACAACAATGTAGTGATCAGTAAGTACAACACAATTGAGGTCAAGATACGACTCAGAAATGTCGGTTACGGCTCAAATTTTTTTTTATGAATCCCAAATATTTCTGTTCTTATCATAACCTTACTCTTTTGGGTTGTAATTTTAACACGACACTACCCAAAAAATAAAAAAATCCATTCGGTACTGCAGTCTTTTCCCAACTTTTATGGACAAATATGGAGGTGTCTAATGGTCAATTAATGACAGATCGATATTTCATGCATGGGGGAGAAGTTGCTGCAGTCGGAGACCTTGAAGCATGTACGAGATCATATCTGGCTGCCTCGATTGGTTGAATCTGTAAATTCAGAGACAACTTCAATTGAAAATTGTAATGATATGTCAGCAAATCATCTGATGCCTTTGGATTATGGACGACGCCTCTTGAACTAAGAACATGCAGGCCTATCGTTCCATTTTCTGCATGCTATTTTCAACTAAAAATTGTATCTCCGTCAATTTAATGTTTGAATATATGAGTATTTGTCATCGTTTTAATTCTATGTTGATGCACATGTATCACATTTGTCATCATTTTAGTAGTCTACTGGTGCACGCGTGTGTGTGTTCAGTGTATGTGGATGGATGGTCAGGACCAGATGGTATACTTGAGATTCATACTCATTTCTACACACAGCTCCGCCAATTCAAGCAGAATTTATGATGATGGTTGATATAAGTTAATTGAACAAAGTTCGTATTAGAGGATATTCAATCGCTTTTACAATCACTTGTCTGGCTCATTAACCGTGTAAAAAATCACTGTTACAAATACTGTCAAAATTAAGTCCGTATTCAATCTTGTTCTTTTGGATTCTCATTAATGAAGACTAAACGGGATGTTTTATGTATATACTAACAAAAAAATAATTAATAATAAATATATTTATATTCACACTTAAAATCAAAAGAATTTAAACACCGAATGTAATAGGGGTGAGTAGTGATAGTGGTGATGAGCGACAGTTATGGTGGTGGAAAATGATAATAGTTGTGATGAGTGGTAATAACCGTGGTAATGGTGAAAGTTGTAGGTGACAACAGTGTCGAATGGTGGTGAGATTTGGGTGACGATGGTTGTAATAGCAGCCATGAGTGATAACGAAGGTGATGGGCGACGATGATGATAGTTGATAGTAGTTGTGATGGTGGTGCGCGAGCGACAGTGTGATAAGTGGTGGCGAATGACAGTGGTGGTGGTGGTAAGTATGGTAGGGGTGGGTGATAGTGGGTGGCGGCAATGGTGGTGGATAATGAGCGGTGGTGGTTGGTGTGGTGAGGGTGGGCGATAGTGTTTGATAGTGATGGAGGACGACGAAGGGTGGTAATCGGTGGTGATGGATGATGAGCACAAAATATTGCATATTTAACGGCCTCATTACATACATTTTAACTTAACTTTGAATCTAAGTATTTAGAGTTAGCCGAAATTATGAATAATGTTGAATTTTCGATATTGCAGATAATTATAGCGTAAATCATGGATTTTAGAACCTTGCAACTATGTGTGGATGTGTGGTGAAGATATGGACACATTACATGAGGATTTGGAGGCTTAAAGTAAAAAAAATCAAGGAGGTATCGGTGCTTGGCAACATAAGCACCAACACCCGCAACTCCACCATTTGGTTGCAGTACCTCAGTTTTTCTCCTTGTTGACCATGATCCACTTCAAATCTAAAGTAGTTCAAAACATGAAAGTTGTAGATATGGATGTCCTCTATATTGTGTCAAAATTTTAGCTCAATTGGACAGTTGAATCAAAAGTTATGACAATTGTACGAAAACTGGTCCAGAGTAGAGTGTAATGTTATGCTTTAGTTTCTGGTGTTCAGCGTACCAGTACGTTGCCCAGAACACCTGCAAATCATGTTCCACTTGCTTGGTGGTCCCACCATTGATTCTTCCACTTGTCTCCTGACATCCCTTACACATTTCACTGCCTCCTATACCCTAGTTGAAGACTTTGGAGACAATGTCATTAAGGAGGATGAGAGAGAAGGGGGCAACCATAATGGTTGTAGGCTAAGGTTCTCCAATGCATCAAATCACCTCCCACTGATGGGAGGCCTGCACATAGGCTAGGAGTGCCTCAAGGACGAAAATGCATCATCTCACACTATATATATTCAACATTCCACAAGCCATTGAAGTGTGGTTACCTAAACTTAGAAAGCTCCAAGGAGGAAGATGATGAATAGTAGATAGAAAGCTTATGTTTTTGTATTTTCTTTTCCATTTCAGTTGTAGTAAGCTTTAAATTTCTTGTAATTCTTAACTCTTGCACCTGAATGTCATTTATTTCAAGTTCATTTCAAGTTTAGTCTTACATTTTACATTTCACCATTGTTACGTTAAGTTTTCTTCATTTCGTGCTTTAAAATGGGTATTGTATTTCTTTCTTTATAGTTCAACTTTTCTTGCTTTAAGTTAAGTTTCAATTTTCATTTCTTCATTATGTCTCTTTACATTATTCATTTCTTTCTTGCTTTCATAAGTAGCTAGATTTCTAGTTGGCTAATTCAAGGGAGACCTTCTCTTGGATTTTTCATTTCAACTCATTTTTTTTCCTCCTCTTAGTGTACGATTGTCCAGTTTGATTGAGTTGAGAGTGGATGCGGTTGTGTGTCTTTGATATCTCATAGGCCTAGTCACGGGTTATGCTTGGATCCTCACCTTCATCTCGTCATTTGCTTCCCATGAATCAATCGTTCATCTAAGCACCATTGGAGGAAGATTTCGAGTTGAGTTGGTGTTCCCATTGGAGTGAACAATTTGGATAAACAACACTTGCTTTCTATTTCATTTCCATCAAAAACACAAATCACTAAACTCAAAACTCAAAAGATTTTACACTTTTCCATTTTTTACAAAATCACCTTCACCACACTTGAACTTTCCTATCATGAGAAGACGACCTTGAAATACTTTTCCAAGTAAAACACGACACTCAAAAGACTCCTTGCACTTAGGGAGCACTTTTGTTCACACATACACACTCATCTTGCATGTCATTCCACCATTATTCCGTTTTCCTTTGTTTGCATGGAACCCAAGTGAGAATGACACTCACCCAATTACATAAGACATATACACATTTAAGGGTTCATGTTAGGGCATTAGGATACTACAACAGAAAACATCAAGCATTTTTTACGTCGTTGCCGACAAAGGTTAAACGTCGAGTTCAAAGGTGATTTTGGGCGGCATAGGTAAAGTCTCATGATTTTCATCACGGGCCAAGATATGTCGTCTCTTTTGTAAATAGTTTGTAAATAGCTTGTGTTTTATATAATGTCTTATAATTTTTATGAAAATGTATCAAATGCTCAAAATTTTGAAAATGTGTGTAAGATTTGTGATGAGTATGGGCACATCACTAGTGAGTGCCCAATAAATTATCTAGTTCAATACTTTGCATGTGAAGGTTCAAATTCAATTTTGGCCTCCAAAAACTTTTACCTAGACCACTATGTTACACCGAGTTATGGTTGGGAGAATGAACCTTATAATTTTTCATCAGATTTCACACCACCAAATGAATTTTACCACTATCCAACATATGGGGACTCAATGAAGAAGAATTGAAAATTATTTTGTGTGATTTTATGCAATACCAAATGGAAGGCAATGCGCAAATAACCCAAGACCTTATTACATTGACTCATGCTATAAGTACTATGTGTGAAGAACAAGATCTTGAGCATAGTCAATGTATTGAGAATGATCATCTCAATGGAATGCATATCGATGTTGAATCTCCCACCATTTTGATTGTAAAATATTTAATGATGATATTATCTCACATGAGGCTAATGAGCCCAATGTCATTTTTCCATCTAAGGGTGGTGTTGCGATTCACATTTCTCAACTTGGAGAGGACATTGAAATGGAATTAAGCGTAGAAACTTTTAAAGAGAAATTGTATACTCCATTGTTGGAATTGCATAAACTTGCCTACACATCTATTTGATTGAGATTTTTGAGTCGTTATCCTTTTTATGTTTGGATAGATGGGTTAGGAATGACATTTATACAACAAAAAAATTATAAAATCAAAAAAATCAATGGGCACAAGCTCATATCCGAATTGAAGCCGGATTGACATGAGCCCTTTTTGTTTTGTTTCTATGTACATAGTAGTTAGATTTCTTTTATTGCTATATTTTTATTTTCATAATGTTGTAGTGTAGAAGTTGTTTACCTCTCCCTAATTTGGACTCATTTCATTTTGAGCATCATCATAGAAAATCTCGTTCAATATCATGTGCGAGTTTAAGTTGGGGGTGTAAACAAACCTTTTTGTTTTCCCTTTAATGTGTATACAAAAAAAAATAAAAAAAAATAAAAAAATAAAAAAAGGTGGTATCTTATTTCCCATGTTATTTCATTTTTCTCATTGCATGATTCCTTATGCATTGAGGACAACACATGGTTCAAGTTGGGGGGTGAGGTACACCATTTACATGTTCCACCATTTTTTGTACATAATAGTTGAAAATGTAAAAATTTTGAAAATTTTGGACAATTTTTGGTAAAAAATATCTAATATTGAACGATATTTCCCTTTATTATGGGATTTGTGATAATTTAATTTTCATTTTGAACTTTGAATACATGAGCACATTATAGAATTTTATTCTATTGCTAAGAGTATCACATACTTGTTTGCTTTTGAACTCAACCATAAGTGCACCATGAACTTGTAATTTTGGTAATTTACGGATTGAGTTCACATTTAATGCTTGACATGAATAGTGGAGATGAGTAAGAACCCATGTAAGCTTTAATGTCAATCCTTGTTTGGAGGGAACTTACATTTACTTAAGGAACAAATTTTAAATTCCACATTTGTTCAATAATCTCATTATACTTGTTTTGGTTAGGTGCATTTGGGTAGTTAATTGACTTTGTCTTGATATGTACAATGCTCCTCTATGCTTATTTAGAGATGATTTTAGGCCATCTTTGATTTTCTTTGAGCCTTAGCGCCTTTTTCTTGTGAAAAGTTTATCCCTAGTGCTGTGATTGAGCCGTAATTGTAAATTCGTTTTCATGCCACAAAATTGACCAAGCTAGTACAAAATGATAAAAATCTACCTCACCTTGGTTGTTCCTAGAACTGAGTATGAATGATCGTAAAAGAGAAGGACGTATGGCAGAAACTAAACAAAAGGGATGAATGAAGTTGAATTTAAAGAGTTGAACGGAAAAGAAAAACATTCAAGAAAAGGAGAAAAAGGGGTGAAAAGAAGAAAATAGGGACAAAAAAAAAAGGAAAATGTTAAGGAAAAGAGAGAAAAAGAAATAAAGAGTGAAGTGATGGTGTTGACTGAAAATCATATAGAAAGTGAGATCTTTTTGAAATAAATGTCATGTACTCAGAACAACCC